ACGGTATGCCACTGACATACTTTCTCACTGCAGTAAGGGGATGACATCACATACCTCTCAGGTTTGTAAGAAACGAATCAGAAAATACACATGGAATACACGACAAATGGATGCACTGAAAATGTCTCTTCCTTTCCTTCCCCTCCTTACTTGCTTTTTGTTGTTGTTGTCCTTACAGATCCCCAGAGAGAGGACATACTCCCTAGTCATGGGCATAAATTGGTAGTCTGCCATTTTTGTAGGAAATGGGCTCTACTTTCCATAAACTTTCCCGGACAAATCATGGAGAGAATCCTAGACATACTTGAGGCCTCATTAGAGGTGAGTGGTCTCTCTGTTCACTTAATGCCTTTTATTCCTGTATAATACGTGCACACCAATTATAGGCCTAAAACACAGCCAGGAGATGCCACCTAACAGCATTTGATTTATTAGTTTTATTAAACACAGATGCCTTTAATGTGGAGTTGTTTGTAGCCTGCACTGCATTTCTAGCTACTTTATCGCATCTATTGGCCAATGTATGAATTATCTTCAAAGGACACGGCTCTTGCTTTTTATCACATTTTCTCTCCAACTACCAAGGAAGAGGTCACTTGGGAGGCGCATCCTTTCATGGCAAGAAAGTGGCCTCGTAGATCAAACACGTGTTTGTTGTGGAATGGAAAAGCCGTCAGGCCAGGCCTACAGGAGGGGCCTGCATCACGTAGAAATCCTCATCAGTCTCTCACCAAAGGGGACCTATGGGTGAGGCTTTGTTGGGAGATGCGTCCAGGGAACAGAGGCAGTGGAGAGGGGGAGGGAGTGCAGAGAACTAGGAGGTGCACTTGCTATGGGGCTGGACAGGGTTTCAAACTCTGCCTTTACGACATACTAGTTCTGTGACTTCAGAAGCAAATTATAGAACCTCTTTGAGCTTTAGATCCCTTGTTCTTTAAGTGCTTTCTCTCAGCATCTTTGTAAGGACCCATGGGATTATCAACCGCTATCATGAATTCCCTTCCCCTTCCCTTGGCTAATTACAGCCTCAGCTGCAGGTCTTACCGGGAAGGATGAGTGTTGGCAAAGGGACATTGGCAGTGGGAGGGGTCATTGTCTCACTATAGGTTGATGTTTCTATTGAGCTTAGTCCTTTCCATAGTGAAAGATAAAAAAAAAAAAAAGTCTTTCCCGCAACCTGTGTTAATATTAAACACTTCATTCCTTCTTCCAACTCTTTATACTATGTTTTAAGTTGCATGAAAATAACTGCCTTGGTTTTATTCATTTTTTACTTTTCCATAATACGCAGCACATAGGGCAGGAGGCCATAAAATGTTTTCAAGTTAAAGTGAAATATTATCCTTTTTGCACCTCTGTGATGGTTTACTTACATTCTGGTCCAGTTGACTCAGGAAGAAGTTTCTAAGGGTATTGGCTGCAGTGATTAGTCTTTGAGTTCTAGGCGGTAGCTGGGTATTTTGAAGAATATATTGAATAGTGAATCAAGAGGCTGAGAATGCTGGCCTCTTGTCAGTCAGTTTGCGTTCTGGATCTGTGTGAACTTGGGAAATTTACTTAACGTCTTCGAGCCTCAGTTTCCTCATCCATAAAGTGAGGATGAGGATAGTAATTTCTCTTTTAAAGGTGGTAGTGCAGATTAAGTGAGTTACTGTACTTAAAGCCTTAGAGTAGTGCCTGGTCATAGTGAATGCTGTTAATGTTGCTACCTCTATCTCTAACTAGTTGTGTGATGGGAAGAGCTAGTTGTCAGGGCTAACCTCTTCTAGCTATAATATTCTGCAATTGATGAGTCCAAAGGCAACAGAATAAGGCAAGAAATGGGGCCAGCCAGGGAGGCAAGGCGAGGCCCTACCTGTGTGCTCTGGGCTTCAGGGTGAGCTCATCTTCTCTGTTTGGCTTGGAACAAGGTGTGAATGAGTGCATGAAGATACTGTTACCCAGGATTTAAATCTCTGATGACAACACTTGTCCAAGTAGTTACTCTGCCTTTGGATTGGGTGGCGGAGCTAAGAGATGAGACCTGTGACAATCTCAGCAGACAAACTCTTTTGTCTTACAGAAATCTAAGCTCATAAACATGGTGGTGGTGGGGGATGCGAATTCCAACCTCCTGAAACTGTCAATCAACTTCAAAGATGAGAGTCAAGGACGGAGCCCTTCTCCCAGACATGTTCCAGAAGGTTGGATGTCTAGAGAATGAGGGTTAAACCTGTGGCTAGAATGATTCAGGTTTTGTTATTCCAAGTAGCCCTCCACCTTGAGGGGAGAATGGAGCCGGAATAGAAATATGGGCTCAGCTGTCATCTTTGGCCTTTGGCACATTCTGTCATCAAATACTAAATACTTGGGTAAATAGGATGCTGAGTGATTGGGTGGTGGGGGCAGGTGGGGCTCACAAAGCTTCTTGCTTGGAGCAGCAACTGTCTCTGGGATGGATGCACCCTCAAAGGAACAGCAGAACTTGATACCTACCAGGGAGCTGTGGAATGCAGCCCCAGGAGAAATACCTACAGAAGGGAGTTTATAACTGTTGTGGGGTAGGGGAGGAATAGAGTAATTTATTGCTGAGAAAGGAATGTTTTTCTTCCATCCAAAGTAGAATTTATTGTCTGAATAAAGTGTGTTATATCCAGATTAGAAAGGCAGCAGGTTTTTATTTTTTTATTGTTGCTGTTGTTTTGTTTTGTTTTTTAAATGCTTTGCCTGGAACATCTACTCTAGACACCAGGATTAAAATATTAAAATTAATTTTTTTCATTTAAGTTAAATACAGACTATTAGAAAATATACGCATGGAAACATAAAAAAATATTAAAATCTTTCATAATTGAACTACCAAAGGTAACCAATTAGACTTTTTTAATGATTTTACATATTTGCCATAATTTTGAAACATGGTTAGAAATGGCACAAAAACATTTTAATTTAACAATTAAGCATGAGCCTTTTCATGGTGCTAGAAGTGTTCATAAAATGATTGTGATGGCATTGTAATATTCAATTTACTTCTGTATCTGAATTTACTAAGATCATAACAAGGCCAGCAAACCAACACTTCATGTTCCTGCCTATGTGCCAGATACTGTTCTAGGACTTGACATACATTAATTCACTAATTTTCCAAAAAAACAAGATAAAATTTTACTGGAAATAATCTCCACTTGAAGGAAGAAGACCTTGAAAGGCCAAGGAATTGCTGGAGATCATTCAGCTGCTTAGTGACGTGGCTGAGATTTAAACTTAGACTGTACAGTTCCCCTACACTATTCAGTCACCCTACTACTGTAGTCACTTAGATTATGGCTGATTTTTTTAAAAAATTAAATTGGTATGAAGGAGTTATCCTCCTTTCCTTAAAAGTGAGAACTTGGGCACTGAACCCAGGCTGGCTCTTGGGGGTAGGGTACAGGGGTGATGGGGCTTCTGGGTATGTGAGAGACAGGATTCAAACCCTAATATAAAAACCAGATTGGTGGTGGCAGAGTCAGAATTAGAACCCCTTTCTCGGATTCTTTCCTAGTCTTTTTCTTTCCACTGTTTTTGTGTGAAAAGACAAACACACACACATACACACACATCTTTGTAATGAAGAAAGACAATGCAATCTTTTTGAAAGATCAATGTCTAGAAGGAGCTTTGCAGGCAGAAGCGATGGCTTAATAATTACAGCAGATTATTTTCTCTTTATTTCCATATTTATGACCTGTTTCAGAAAGCATGGGGCTTCTTAAAAGCTTTCTAAGTATTGCGAAGGGATTTTGTAACCTTTTTGCACTGGATCATGAGAGTAAGATACCTTATTTGACTGTGGAGATAACAAAGGACCAGGGCAGAGGGCAGGGTGACTTGTCCCCTTCTATGACTTCTGAGCACTGATGTGCACCCTTTCCTATGCCCCTGCTTCTCTGACAGAATGCCTAGCTGTTTGGGGGTTCCTGGCCCCTCTGGGCTCAGCAAAGTGTGAGGCAAACCACTGGCCTCCAGGAAGCTGGCAATTGGCAGGTGAAGTCAGTTCTTAGGAATCCATCTACTTCAGCTGAGCCCCAAGGATTAAGCATGACAGAAAGCTTTAAGAAGTCTGATATTGATCACAGGTCTAAGGTTATCCAATCTAGTTGTACCACCAAATAAGTTCATATTTGGATTTCCCTATGCTTCTAGTGCCCATTTCTCAATAGGGTCAGAGATCCATAGGCAGAGGTGTGGGATTAAAAGTTTGATATTTAAACTCAGCCTTGACCTTGGTCCGGGGAGAATTCTACTGAGAATTGAGAGAGAATCTACTGGATCTCTCTGAAACCTGTTTCTTCTACTTCTGTGATGCAAAATTCCGGCAATGAGTGGTAAGAGACCGAAAGAAAAAGGGTGCAGAGGGGGTGTTGCCCATAAAAGAACTGAGATTTACTCACAGGGAGAACAAAAGAATAGAGATGGGAGAATTGGGGGAGAAGGAGGAGAGCTGTGAATTCACACAACCAGAGAACTCTTAGGTGAAAAGATTCGATCAGTTAGGGTGTTTGAGACCTTAAGAATCACAGGAATAAGAAAAGACAAAGTTTTACCGGGGACTATGAATTGATCCTTCTACATTTTTATTAAAAGAAACTTTAGTAAATATTAAAATTCTAAAAAAAAAATACAAATCAAAACAGATACTTGATGTTATCTCACTGGGTAGAAGGAGGAAGACACCTTCAGATAAGTATCAGCTGCACAACAGAAAGTTTCAAAAATTTTTGGCAGGAATCCCAGTCAGCAGTTACATCCGCACTCCTGATGTTGGGTCTGTACTATTTGGAGTTTGGGACTCGGCAGATGGACCATTTGCCATGTGTCTGCTTTCTGGCTCCTGTTTTCCAACAGCCCTGGCTAACTTGGATCAAGATATTAGCAGATCTGACTCCTCGGCACTGGATACTTTCCACAGATAGGAGTTCTTATCCACATGGTTTCTGGTTGTCATCATAAGGACACTGAAGAGTAGAGGAAAGAGGTCCTTCCTCTCGAGTTCCATGGGTATCCCTCTGCCCACGTGAAACAGGCTTGGCTCTGCCTAGGAGCTGCACCGTTTTTCACAAGGCTCCCAATGCTAAGTGAGCACTTTGCGGTGCATTCTGAAACAGTTTGGAGAGCTAGAAAATTAGTCAAAGATCCATGCCCTGACCTTTAGGAACTGGATGTCCATGTGGGTATTAGCGGGAGGTGAGAACCAACTGAAAGGTCTTGATTTCATCTCCAAAGCTACAAGGCAAGCAATCCAACTACACATGGTGCACACTGGCTGCTGGGGGACCTCACGGATGGAAAGGGCATTTTGT